CGGCCGCCGCCGCCGCCGCTGCCAGGTGCATGCCCGCAGCGGCTGCATGGTGATTGTACGGCGACGGCGACGGCATCGGCAGGCTTCGCGCTGCCATGGCCGACCAACTTGTTGGTACGACAACATTGCCATTGTTGTTGGTGGTGGCGGCGCCGCCGCCGTTGAGGACCTCACAGCTGTCTAGACTGCTGTGCCGACTGCTGCTGCCGGCAGTAGCAACGGTGGCGGCGGCGGCGGCGGCGCCGCCGGTTGTAGCATTAGCCGAGATGGAGTTGATGGAGATGGAAGCGAAGCTTTTGGTGGATGGAGATGCGGTGGCGGCAGTAGTGGCGGCGAAGGATGCGACGTTGTCGATATTGAGGGCGATGGTGTCGCTCCGAGGCGCCGCGGCGGCAGCTATAAGGCCTCTCCCCGGGGTACCCATGACGCTGGCGGCCGTTGTAGCGGGCCCGGAGATTGTCGCGCGTCGAGCCATCCCGGTCGAATTGTCGAGCTGACTCGATGGGTCGAAACCGATGATTGCCTACGGTACGGCCCATTGGGAGGCGGACGCGTCAACATCGCGATCGAAGTCGAGCCGCCGGTCGAGCCGCCGGTCGATCGAATTCAACAAGAGGCTTCATGTGCGCATGTGCAACAAACTGTATCCAGGCAATCCTAGACAGGCATTCAGATAAAATGAAAGATAAAATGTCTCCGATGCGATTTGAACTGGGAATCCTCTCTATTGAATGGAACATAGCACTTGAGTAACACGCAGTCTTACCTCCAGCGTCAATGCACCAGGATCCAGATCCAAGCCGCCGGCCACACTCGCAGCTTCCTCACTCGCCTCACTCACACTGGGCGATTGGCCCACGGCACGTCGCTGCGGTGCGGCGGCGCCGACGCGGCCGTTATGTCCTCCCGCTGCGGCCGCGGCGGCGGCGGCGGCGGCGGCGGCGGCGCTGCTGCTACCGCCGCCAGCGGCGGCAGGCCCCAGCATGGTCATACCGGCCCCGCGGCTGCCAGCGGCAGCGATGGCGGCGGAACCGCCGTCTCCGCCAATGTTGAGGCGAGCGCCGTACGACAACATCCATGAATCCAGGGCAGCGGCGGCATGGTCCGCGGGTGCACTACGGCCGCCAACGGAGCTGGACAGATCTGCAGACGAAGAGTGCCACGACGCGTACTCCATCGGTAAGGCTCCGGAACCAAAGCAGCCGCCGCCGCCAAGGCCAGCGGCGCCGCTGCCTCCGTGGCCAATGCTTCCCATCACCAAGCCGCCGCCCATCGCGGCCACCGTCGCCGCGGCCGCCGCCGCCGCCGTGCTGCCGTTGGTGAATGTCGCCATGGACAATGTTGGCGCGGACCCAACGACAAAGGGTGTGCTGACGCCAAGGCCAGCGCCGACGCCTAGGCTGGCAGCGGCGCCAGCGGCGGCGTAGCCGCCCAGGCCGAATCCGCCGCCAAGGCCCAGGAAACCCGGGTCTGCCGTGGCGGAAGTGGTTCCTGAGCTGCGCCCAACGGCAGAGGTGAACGGCTTGGTGGCGGCAGCGCGAGCCGCAAGTTGGTCCATTAAGGAACTCTGCATGGTACGACATGATACGACATGGTACGGCACAACACGGAAACACAGAGCAGTGATGGAAAGTGAATGGAAATGGGTGAGGGTGGGGCAAAGGTTTCAAATACGGCGGAGGGAGGCTAGAGCTCATGCTAATGGTGTTTGTCGTATACAAGACCTGACGTCAGGTGTACGGATGGCCCCATGTGCGCCACGTGTCCTGTACGGCAATCGATAAGCGCCGCCAACATCCATCCATAAAAATCACTGACGGCGGCGCCAGTCCTCCCGAGCAGCAACACTCCGCGGCCGCGTATGCCGCTACCACGCCGTACATATGCCGTGCAGTCGTACCTCGTGTGTTGGCGACATGGCAAACACGCCACTTGCGCCGCCCAGGCCATCCGCCGGCTGTGCCGACAGCCCGCCGCCGCCGCCGCCGTTGAGCGACGCTGTAACGGAGCTCCGACGCGTTCCAATGGCGGAGTTCGACCAAACCTCGGCGATCTCCTGCGGCACATGTAGGTCAGCAGCTGCGGCGCCGGGGGACGCTGCCACGGAGCCCACATTGTTGGCGGCGGCAGCGGCGGCGATGGTTTGCTGCAGCATCGCTTCACCGCCACCGCCGCCGCCGCCGCCACTGCTACTGTGGAACCAAGAATACCTGCGGGCAGTTAGTTAGTTATCGTTAGTTAGTAAGCTAGGCTTCTAAAAGCTCTGTCGCCTTCGCGGAGCTGGTAGCATGATAAATTGCAATATGCTATCCAAGGACGTGATAACGGCAGCACCGCCGCCGCCGTTGACAGGAAGTCCCTCCGGGCCTCACCTCGTGATGCCAAAGCCGTTGCTGGGAGGCGACGAGCCCGTCAGTGCAGGTGTTGACCAAGCGGAAGTGGCGGCGCCGATGCCCAACCCAAGGCTCCGGAAGCCGTACAGGTCCTCTCCGGCGGAGACGCCGCCGTAACCCCCGTCGTGGGACGCCGAGGGTGGCACCGCCGGCAGTGACGTCATTGCGACGCCGCCATTTTGCGCAAGCCCATCACCTCCGCGCAGCGGCACCGGCTCCGATTTCGGCTGTCGTGGCGGCTGCAGCTGCAGCAACGGCTGCTGCGGTAAACTCCCTGTAGAGCAAGCAGCGCCGCTGGCTGCGTTGGCGGCTACAGCACCAGCGCCAGGTGCTGACGCCGTCGACGCCGCAGTCGCCGACGGGTACCCGGCAGCATCCCGGCCAGTCGCTTTCGGACTGGTGCCGTCAACGACGCAGGCGGTGGCGACGTTGACTTGCCGTACTTCAGACATGCCGTTCTGGACACGACGCGCAGTCGCCTGCCTGTCCATGCCATCCCTGCCGCTCCCATCAACAGGTGCCTCGTACTCAAACAAAAACACGGGTAAAGCGTCACCGGCGCCTCTAGCTGCAGCCATCGCACCACCGATTGGAACAGCACCAGCACGTTGCCAAGATTCGTACGGCAGCATGCCATTTGAGGACAACGGCGGCGGCCGGCCGCCGCCGCCGCCGCCGTCGCCGCCACCCTTCAGCCTCATAAGCTGCTCCGCCGCCAGGCTTACGACACGCTCGCCACGACGCGAGAGTGATTCATTCTGTCGGAAGATTAGGCGCGCTCGCGGCGCCGTCGCCAGCAGCTCTGCCAGCTTTGTCGCTAGCGGCTTTGAGCCGGCGGCGGCGGCGGCGGCGACATGCTGCAGTACAGACGCGAGGCGCGGGTCGCCGAGCGCACAGGCTCGTAAATGAGCGGTTAGGTCAGTTATGTGCAAACTCAAAGCAGGAAGTAGCCTCTTAGAATCTCTCCAGGATACCAGGCAAAAGCCAGCTGCTACTGCCAGATAGTCTTCGTCATCGGTGGAGTAGTTGGGAAAGGCCGCCTCGACGGCGGACAACAGCACAAGATCAGGAACCGGCGGCGGATGACTAGAGGAGGCGGCGGCGGCGGCGGCAGTGTTGGCGGCGGCGGCCGCCGGGGACGGTGCTTCACTAACGGAGGAGGATGAGGGGGACGTGCTCGGTTGAGCCGCAGCTGCCGGCGTCGCCGCTGCTGGCGACGGGGTTGGAAGCTGTTGTTGTGGCGGTAGTTGCAGCGGTGGCGGCGGTGACGGCAGGCCGAGCTCCTTTTGAAGTTGCGCCATGTTCAGCCATAAGACCTGCGCCCGGATTGAAATTGGGGCGAGGGAGAGTTTGAATACTTCCTTTTTGAAGCGGGAGAGTAAGTCCCCAACGAAGAGCAGAAAAAAAAACGCAGGGGAGCCATAATGGAGCTCTCCAGGGGGGTTGGAGCGTGCCCAGGCCCCCTCAAGTACCTCCCTAGTTTGGTTCGCGTAGTCGTCGACAAAAGCACAAACCTCGTGCCTCGTTTTACAGCAACACGTATACACTATTCGATATGGACGTATGACAGAATAATGGTGCATACATTCTGGTGCATTTGAGAAGGAAAGATAGCGTATGCAGTAATGTTTTTTGGGGCCTTTTTTGGGGCCCCGGTTTCTGTGAGGAATGTGCGAGGAGAACGGTTCGGAAGACGAAGGAAATCCGGTCGTACGCACCTGCATGCCCCAATCGGGATCATTCACGGAAGCGTCGAGTTCGAACAAAGATGAAAACGAAGGGTCTGCCAGAGCTGTCTGGAGCTGCACTGGGGGTACTTCCTTGCCGTTTCCGACTGGCCCGCCGGATGTGAATCCGTTCACCTGGAAAGAGTATGCACGCAAGCAGGTCAGACAGGCCTAAGTAAATGCTGGTATGCTGTGTAAATGGAAGTAGAAAGTAAATATGTCTTTGTTACGGTTTCCCGGCAGTGAGGAGGTCACAAATCACATGCAACACCCCAACACTTGCACGTCCAGCCTACCTGCAGACGACCGGTTAGCTGACGTCCTCGGAGAATATCCTCTAGATGGCATATTCGCAAGCGCAGTTCTGGGTCGGCCAGCAGAGTCAGGGCTACTTCGCGCCTGTGGTGGTTTGACATGGAGTCGTGGGCAAAAGACAACGTGCGGAGTTATGCTGCTCTATACATAGAGCAAAGCACTTAAGGAAAAGATCAAGCAGTGATGCAGTCGAACGGCATTGGCCTGGGCCCGAGCAAGCTGAGCGCGCAAGTAAAAACAACCATCAGAGCAAGCAAATCTCTACAGTCCCAAAGAGCCTGCTCTGTCCATGCCGTAATGCATAGAATTTTGTGTGTGTACCGACGCCGTGAAATTTGGCCTTGAAGGCCACGACAAGGTGAGATTCCCCGCCCAAGGCGCGACTCAGGCACTTCCCACTAATGCCTAGTACACCTTAGGATATGAAATAATGATAGGATCCCAGTCAAGAGGCGCGAATAACACTTTAGTGTCAAAACACCAACTTCCTGAGTCGTCGGTCGGAGGGCCGCGTCCTCAAAGCGCAGAACAACCCCAATACCGCCTGCACTTCAACATATCGCTTTTCTCTATCAAGCGAATGCTTTGCACCAACTAACCTGAGTGAGTTACTTGGCGTAGGCCAGGCCTTCATGACACAGTTCCGTGCCATGGACAGATATTCCCGGGAATAGAAGGCATTGTTACCCATCGGAGGCCGCAAGAAGACGCGAGCGCCCTCTCCTTTGCTTGTTGTCATGGCTGCGCCAGCTTACATTGCACAAACCCTAAGCCCTAGGTAATTGCTACTTGCACAGTCGCTTGCACAGCCTTTTTAAAAATGACGTTTTAAAAGATAGAGATGATTCACAAGAATAAAGCTGTGGAAGGGAAGCCAAGGATGTGAGAATCCGGTACGGAGCGAGGGAGCTTCGGGTGGTTGGAAAGAGTAGAGTCCTAAACACTCACAGTAATTGATACTCGTTTGTGTTCTGATTATTAGTAAACGAGAATTATGTTTTTATATATTATGTTTGATGGAAACTCATCGTCAAAAGCTCATTCCATTCGCTTGGATCGCCTTGTTCTCGCCAGCCCAAAGCTATGGCGCCGCAATGGGCAAAGACACACTGCACTTAAAGCTTTAACTTATTGGAAATGAAATTGTCAATCGCCACTTTAGGAGGCCAGATGCATCGGACTTTTCGGGATATTCGCCCCCTTCTCCTAACGTCGAGCTTCAAAGGCTCGCGATATTCCACACAATCGTCAAAGTTAAGCAGAGCATACATTACTCCGCGTACAACGGTCGCTAACTTGCAAAGCGCGGTGGTTAGGGATTCTCACTGCAAAGGTGTTAACGACACCTCGTTGTTGTAAAGATCCCATCCTCCATGCTATCCGCTACACAGCTAGGACCTTGTAGCCCCTCTCATCCCGACCTCGCGCCGTGTCCGTAATGCTTCCACTGCAATGTCTGCTGCTACCGGTCCCCCTCTCGGACGTAGCGACTGGGTGTCCAGTCTTTGCACAAGGGACGGACGACGGTATGCAGACCACGGCCTGACGGCCTGGGGCCTTATCTCTTAATAGCTCGGTGACCCGAATCGCACAAAGAATGCAGCTTGCATAACAACACGGCCAGAGCAGCTAGAAACCCCAAATCCTATCTTTCGTTTCAGTAGGACCCGAAAGGAGGGCAAACAGCGCTTATATCGAACATCCGACACTGCACGAGCCCGGAACCATCAGAGCGGAGAGCTGGATCGCTTGTTGGTTGCGCAGGGCGTTTTCTCCTTTCTGTCTCTTGGGCATTGATACTACTATATTATGATGCTCTCTATCAAAGTTATACAGGCCATGGGCCCCATTTTTCGACATTATGGAGTTCATTGTGCCGATGTCGTTGGTTTCCAGTTGGAGCCCAGCTGTTGTTCTGTGGTGCCTTCGGCAACATCGCAACCGGCCAAAACGGTGTCCTCATAAGTAACGGCATACGTTTAGCCAGGCTGCAAAAGCCTGCAGGCCTCCAAGGCTCCCGGAGGCCGGCAAGCAGGTGCCGCTCAGCCGCATCAAGGCGCTTCAAGGCCCCAAACCACCTTGCAGCGTTAGGATGGACAAAATGACGAAATGTTTGCTTCGGCTCTCCATCGTGGAAATCCGTGGATCGCGACTTATCAAGGATGCTGTGGTCGAGCGGGGGGCGCCAGTCGCTCCCCTCCCGTGTCAGCGGCTGTGCTGCAGCCTGTTGGCCCAGCCGAAAACGACACCCTGCAAGACTAGTGCAAAGATGTCCAGCTGAGCCACTTCGTATTACGACTAGCATAACCCGGCACGTGTGGTAGGAGCGCATTTCTCCTATCCGATCCGCTCGGTGTACGGGGCGTTCTCATTCTACTAGCTTACCTTGGCAAATCGCGTGCCTCGCGCGATGCAAGGCCAAAACGCTGGTCCGTCCGGTAATCGCCGCCACCAAAAGGAAAAACGGCCACGCCTGTGCCCGCCTGACCCACCTCACGTATGGATGAGAAGGGCTGTAATCAGCATCTTCATGTAACTGTCCAGTTCCTATCTTGTCCATATATAACGAATATCACACCCTGCTGTAACGAATCACACCCTGCCTGTCGTCCACACGCGCACTTCTGTGCTTTTCTCCACTCAACGCGAAGCACATGTCATAGTCTGAGTAGTGCGACATAACAAAACACATATCGCCGTGGGGATGCCCCCAGCCCATTTTCATCATTGCCACTGTGCGAAAGAGAGACAGAAGAACAGTACAAGACACGGAAGAGAGCGTGTGAAAGAGAAGAACACAAAAAGGCTGTGCAAACATATACCGAAAAACGCGAGAGATGAAGACCCTTGGCGTACACGTGATGCAGTCAATCCACCCAAACGGACAAAGAACACCTGCTGAATGTCTCACACATGCCGCTTTACTAGCACATGCATAAATGTGTATGAATCTGTGGGCTATGTATGTGACATCCCCATGTGATGATGGTCTTCACATAGCCTGCATCCCACGCTTCCCGCGCCCTCCACGGCCCCCGCACCTTCCGTATTCCCTGCTGCCTAACCCAACCCGCCACTCTAAGCACCAACCATGTTCCCCCCAACGCAAAAACAGTGATGCGGCTCCATTCCACAATCGCATCCTAGTATGCATCCATACGTCGGTTTGATGCTAGTACGCATCCGTACGATGCATCCGTATGTCGGTTTAATGCTAGTATGGATCCACATGCATCCGGTTGGATGCTACCATATTCCACGATGACGAAAGGGAGCGTGAGCTAAATGTCTAAAGGTGGCATCATGTGGAGATACCTAAAGCTGCCAGCCCACGCCGCGCCTCCTCAACTTCCTGCGCACGGTGCCATGTGCGAGTCAATGGGACCAGAAAATTCTTCCAGATCTGGAGTGCGGATCACACTTGGATCAAGTATGGAACCAGATTTTGTACCCGGGTGTGAATCTGCTTGGAACAAACGGTGAGATGAATCAGCATTGCGGACGCCTGTACTACCCAAATGCATGTATGGGGCATTTGGAGGGTTTCCATGCACTTATAACAGGCTCTGAAGGCCTGTTATAGGAGAGTAAGTGTGCGCGCGAAAGCAAACGGTAGGCTGCCCCCTCAGCCCCACATTGTCTCGGTTTTCTCAGTAAAGGCTTCGCGGAGTGCACGGAGGCCAAAGATCGTAAAGGCGCCAAAATCTATGTGTGTCGATGGGTGCCCCATTGTTGATGGGGTGCGTGTTCCCCTAAAGCTGTACGCAGATGACCTGAATCTGCTTGCCCACAATTACCGGCGCCTAATGTGCCTCCTTAAGGCCCTCACGGAGGGGTGCAGCGCAGCATTTGGCGTGGCGTTCATACTCGTAAGTGTGAGGTTGTCTACTTTCAACCCAATCGAACTCTACGTGCGTTATCTGGGAGCCTTGTGAAGGTTGGTATGCAGCGAGCAGTGGGAAACATGTGCATTTTGAAGAGATACCGTGGGTTGGCAGCGCTAGGTATTTAGGGCTTCATTACGGGCCGGATGCCTTGTTCGAATCCTGCACTGATGAGCTATTTAGTGCGGGGCAGCGAGCGACACATGCCCTGATAGCCAAGTTGCGTAGGACGGTGCAATTCAGAGAACGATCTCCATCCCCCGATTATGCCTAATACGTAGGCAGATAGGCATGGTGTTCATGTTGTCGCCGATTTTGGCTCTTGGACAAAACCTGATATTTGCCCTTCTTTTGAAGGCCTTTCTCCGCTATCCCCCAGGGGGCCCTGCGAGGTCCCGCCCACATGCCTCAACCCCCCTCAATTTCATTGACACGTTTGAATGAGCCCCAAATCGTTAAGCAAGTCTCGTGTTGCTGCAACCGGAGATCTCACCAGCTTAAGCTCCTGAATCGCGGATGGATAGCTCTTGAAGCTCAGGACGCCAAAAGTCAGTCGTATGAGAAGGTACAACCCAACAAGGAGCAGCAGCCACAGGGGCGCCTGCACGTGGCCTCTGGCATGTGAGCCACTGCTCATGGCAGGGGCGAAGGGTGCGGCACAACCCACCCAAAAAGCTGCTTGCCGACCGCTACCAGGAGGTGTTACCGAGCATACTGCAGCCCAGGTTGCAAAAGATGCCAGAAAAACAACCGCCAGCTTGCGACTCCGCCTCATATTTACCGCTGTCGCCCCAACGCACTTGGATTGACCGACATACTATCGCTCTGACAATTCAATATACAGTTGAAAATGATGAAATGTCTAAAATTGTTTATTATTGCGAAAGGCTGGGCAACGAGTTGCGTGACCAACTTGCGTGACAATACTATCTGCACATGCAATTGATTGGAATAAAAAGCAGTGTATACCAATAGGAGCGTAAAGATGTGAGACATTGGTCAGGGATAAATTTCGCGCGGGTCAAGCGAGAACCAAAGCTATTGTACGGATGCTTGACCACAAAGAGGCTAACTGATTGCGCAGACAGGCATACTTGCATCGCTACAATTTTGGACATTTATTACGTGGACGGAACAGGACATTTTAGCTGGTCGCTGAAGACACATGATACACTTAGAGTCAAGCGGAATGCTTCTTTCCAACAAGGCGTAGGCATTGAACCATGCCTGGTGTGTCGACGTTGGCGAGCAAGGGCCTTGCGCCCAAGCCCAAGGGTGCGGTCGGGACTGCATGTAAATGGACTCGCTTTGACGAACGCGCTAGGCTCAGCCTTGCCTTGCTCCTTCATATCCACAGCTCGCTTTGGGGTAAGACAACACCAGGATGTTGACCAGGGAGCAGCGGCCCCAGCGGTGGGCGAGCCGATGGCGCAGGAGTCACAGAGCAGCCTGGTATGTGCAGGCCCGGCTGGGGTTCACCGGCTTCATAGTCGCACAGCTCCCTACTCATACACGTGTCGTGCGGTGCTCTATCGCAGATGGATGAAGTGGAGGGTGATGAGGCCATGTATTCCCACCTGCTGCCCAAAGTGATGGCCCCTTTCGAGACGCGGTCCGGGGAAACGCCGCGCAAGGTGCTGATCCAAAGGTGCGGAAAAGGGTGGAATGGTTCAGGGTACAAAATCCTGTGGAAAAATGAGGAATATCAATCCTCCTGGCTGCGGTTCGAGCTCTGACCGAACACCCCCCCCCCGAACCGCCGTGTTCTCCCACCGTCCCTCGGGATCGCGCCAATTCCCCGCAGGAAGCGGCGTCAGTTCGCAGCACAGGACGTGGCAGCACTGGTCCAGAGCGAGGGCGTGCCGCCCACGTCGGAAGAGCATTTCCCTTTGGAGATCTTTGACAACACCAACTACGAGTCACGGACGCACCCGGAGTGGGTGCCGCGGCGGCCGGGTGAGACCTATTTACGAGCCCTGGGGGAAAACTTGTTATGCCTGGTGGGGGCCAGCGCCGGCGCCGGCGCCATCCCCGGCAGAGGATGCGTAACGGCTGAGCGGGGGGAATGTTGTGGGAGAAGACAGGCGGAAAAACAGCGGCGTGAGCCGCCCTGGAGCTAAGGATCTCACCCTTGACCTGACCCTTGACGGGATCGACTTGACCCATGACTTGATTGTGACCCACATGGGTATCAGCACCACCACGGTATCGGCAAGTTCGCGGAATTACAGGGCCTAAGGCGGCCAAAGGGGGAAAGGCCAAAGGGATGGAAGGGTCTTCATGCGGGGCGGCAGCGGGTCCCTGGGGCTGCTTGGCTCCTGGCAGCCCTTGGTGTAATCCATCGGTTTGCACTTCCAGCGAAGGTAATGGCGAATTGGCGCAGTGGGTCAGTCAAGCTGCCGTTCAGAACCTAACTTAGAAGCTGTAGTCGCTTCTCACCTATCTACTTCAAGTAACATGTAATGGCGTTACGGGAACGGTCAAGGGCGGTTGGAAACATATGGGCGTTTGGGGCCCTCGGGACGCAGCTACAACACAGTCGCGGGCAGCTACCTGGGAGGGGAGGACCGTGATGCAGCCGGAGCTAGCTGACGGTAGCGAGACGACGGCAGCTGCATCTGGGGGGGAGGTGTTGGAGACTGTTCAATGAAGCCCGGTGGCGGCCAGGGCAGTGGCTGAGTGCGGCCAAAGGCCCCTCGCACTCAGAAAATATGGGCGGGGGATTCGGGGATGCAGAATGGAATGATACGCAGAATCGCCTGCGACACAGCGGCTCGGAAAGCGGCTAGGCGGGGTCAGCAAGTCTATGTTGGGCTTTGGCTGGGAAAGCACTTTTGGCTGGGCTCCGGGGTACAGTGAGCCGCGTCCAGGTGGGAACCTTCCGAGCTCAACAGGCTGCGGCGGTGGCGACGACAAGGGGAGGGGAGGGAAAGCTGGGAGCTGGGAAGCCTCCTTCCATGCCCATGTCCAGCGTTCCCAGTCCCATCCCTTTTCCTGGATTATCCGTCTATCCCTGGGATGAGCTTCACTCGCCTGCGGTTCATCTTCCCGCTCCTCCCCGCCCTCCTCCTTCCTTCCGTCCATCCGCCACCTCGTCGCCCGCCCGCGCGTCTGGGTCATGCCGGCTGAGTGATGAGCGGCTTTTCTTTGTCCTTCCCGCTTTCCCCTTCGGCCGCCCTCCTCCTCACCCTCCAGGTGCTCCTCCCACTTCCGCACGGGCGCTGGTGCGCGCCGGAACCGACGACGGCGCCGGCGGACTAGCCTGGGTGCCTTGTACGGTAATCGACTACAACGAGGCCGCAAATGCGTACGGCGTGTTGCTACTGCAGAGCGGCAGCACCGGCGGCGGCGGGGTCCAGACCGCTAGCGGCGACGATGGCTCAGGCCCCGGTCTGGGTCCCTTCGGTCACATCAGCGATGGGGCCATGCTGGCGGAGGGCAGAGTCATCTGGCTTCCGCGACTTAAGGTGCGGAAGTGGATGATTGCTGACTGTGCACTGGGTTCGAGCGTGCGCGTGCTTGAGTTATAGAGTGTCGCTGCAATGCGGGCTTAGAGTGTCGGGTGCTGTGATTTGAAGGTGCGGGTGTGGATGTGGGTTGCGCACATGCATTGTGGGGTGTGTTTCAGTGACCTCAGTCGAGGGCGGGAAATATATATTGCGCGGAGGATGGCAATGGCACACGAGGGGTAGCTGGGGTGAGTGAGTGCGGACTGCGGGTTAGGCCGCTATGCGATGCGGCTTAGCTGTCCCGCCTGTCTTTCGGGGGAACTGATCCTCCGGGGACAAATTCCGTTTCCCCCCTACTCCTACTCCTACCCCTACTCCTACCCCTACTCCTACTCCTACTGCTCCCCGCCGCAGGTGTGCTTCAGCGCGGAGGACCCCGCGGTGTTCGCCCGGCGCTACGCTGAGGCGCACCGCAGCCGGGCGCGTGCCGAGTCGCTGCTGCGGTACAACTTGTACATCGACTCCATGCCCACGGACGACATCCCGCCGCTCACCAACGAACAGGTCGGTTGGTGGTTGGTCGGTCGGTTAGCTTGCTTGCTTGCTTGGTCGGTCGTTGGGTCGGTGAGTCCTCCAACCGAATAAAGCTCCAGTTTCCTTTTCCTACTAAAGACCTCTGCCGATCGAAGGCCCAATCAGGGCCCAGCAGGGCGGGAGTAGAGGGACGAAGGCCGAAGGGGAGGAGGCCATAGGATTCTAGGGCCCCTTCAAGCCGTCTGCAACTCAAAATGTCTTGTACCGTAACATCGTGGCATGTCCTTCCGTTTTTCCGAGCCATTGCTTATTCCTGGCTTGCCTCCTCTCCCACTTCCCCCTGGGGGGCCGGGGTCGGGTGTTGTCACAACCCTCTGAATCCGCGCTTGCAGGTGAACAGGATGTTGTCCTTCGCGCTCAACAGCAAACGGCTGAAAGACAAGCTGATGGACACCAGCGCACTTATTGCGGAGGTAAGGAGAACGGCACCTGGCGGAATGGGATGTTTCCTTCGGATTAGTTTGGGAGAAGGCTGCGGAACATGGATTTGTTTGTTTGTTTGTTTTCTTTCCTTGGGCTCTACACTCCTTCCTAGCCCTTTTCACATCCCCACACGCCCCACACGCCCTTGACGGCCGCTCTTCTGAGAGGAGGTAAGGGTGATACAGCAACACAGCAGACGCTCCTCGGAAAGCTCCAATGAGCCCCTCCACATCTCTCCATCGCGATCTATCCCTTACCCCCCCTTTCTTCCCCACGTGTCGCCTAAACTAACAATACATGCATGCATACATACATACATACATACATACATACATACATACATACATACATACATACATACATACATACATACACACGCAAGTCGACAGTTCCTCGTCCTATATTAACCCACCCCGAACACGCGCATGGTAACAACCAACTAACAACCAACAACCAACCGTCCTCTTCACCGTGTGGTGGGTATTCCAGGTGAACATCGAGTACGCGCGCACCATGAACAAGGTGGTGTTCGACACAGCCTTGCAAGGAGCCCGCGCGGAGAAGGAGGCGGCGGCGGCGAGCGGCCGGGCCGCCAGTGCCGCCACAGCGCCACTCATCCCCGTGAACGAGGACTTCCCGCGCGACCCGCCACGGCTGGTGCCGGACAAGGTGCGCAGCGTTCCTTTCTCTTACCTGAAATCAGGGCACTTAGTTGTTTATATGTTATATATATGTATATATATAACATATATATATAACATATATACATGTATATATATAACATATATATGTTATATATATGTATATATATAACATATATATATGTATATATATAACATATATATATGTATATATATAACATATATATGTATATGTATATATATATGTATATGTATATGTATATGTATATGTATATGTATATGTATATGTATATGTATATGTATATGTATATGTATATGTATATGTATATGTATATGTATATGTATGTGTATATGTATATGTATATGTATATGTATATATATATGTATATGTATACATATATAATGTATATGTATATGTATATATATGTAATGTATGTATATGTATATATATATATGTATATGTATATGTATATGTATATATATATGTAATGTATGTATATGTATATATATATATATATGTATATGTATATGTATATGTATATATATATGTATATGTATATATATAACATATATATATGTATATATATAACATATATATATGTATATATATAACATATATATATGTTATATATATACATATATATAACATATATATTTTTGTGATGCGCAGTTCCTGTCGGACACCACATATGTCCGACATACGGTATACGTATGTGGTGTCCGACAGCAGCGACTGCGCATCACTGCTGTTGGGCGCTTCACCGCCTCCCCCACTCCCTTCCCCCCTACTCCTCTCCCATACCCACGCTTCGCGTCCTCCTCCTCTGCCATCTCCACCTCTCCTCACGCCCCCGCCTCCTTAAGGGCACCGTGCCTCTGGAAGGTTCTACGGACTTCCCCCAGCAGTTCAGCGAGTTCAGCTTCAAGACGTTGCTGACCAAGCCCGAGGTCATCACCGCCATCACCAAGATCAAGGTGGAGTGTGCCAAGGTGGCCAAGATGTGCCTCTTCAACACGCATTACACCAAGTCGGCACGTCTGGAGGAGCTGGAGCAGGGGCAGGTGGGAGTGGCTAGAGCGACCGGGGGGTCCCCCTGTGCGGAGCACAAACGGGCTTGGTCTACTAGGAATTTCGTGTGGTGTGATGTGGTGTGGTGTGGTATGCAACAGCCATTGTTTGCATGGGTTCATCTGTTTGCTTTTATGTCTGTCCTTGTTTAAATCTTAAGAATACAAAAAATACACACAAAAACACAACCTCCCTTGTAATACCGTCTGCGCTTACCGGCCCGGCGCATTCCTCCCTATACCCTTCTCGCCCTCCACCCTCCACCACCGCGTACCAAACAGCTGGTCGCCTTGGACAGCGCCGGCAACTACCTAAAAGACAGCTGGTGTGTGGCTCTTCGCAACGCCATCCGCAACAGCTTCAAGGACGTGGGCAAGGGCTGGTTCAACCTAGCTGAGGCATCCATGGAGACGTACGAATTTTCCAAGCTGCGCAAGTTCCTGACGCTGACGCGGTTCGTGATGGAGGATACCATGAGGGGGCTGGTGGAGGACAGTCTTGCCAAATTCACCACGTTTGTTCAGGTGCGGGGGGGCAGGTGTATGTGTGTGGGTGTGTTGTTGTTGCGAGCGTCTCATTATGGAGTCGAGAGTGTTGTTGCCATGTGTGTGTGTGGGGGGGGGGAAAGCGTGTGTGTGGGGGGCGGCCGTGTGTATGTGTGTGTATTGAAGTGGGTTTGGCCGTGTTGAATGTACGGCGGTGCGTACACACATACACACACACGGACAGACATACAGAGAGACGACACACAGAGGGATGGTCTGCGCGTACGTATTAAGTGTGCTTGTGTGTATTCTTTCAAGTGGTGAGTTACTGCTCACGTTTGAGACAAGCGTGAAATACGATTATGTACGACACTCGCTTGACGCCTCTTGCACCACCACCACATCACCCCTTGTGAAGCAACCACAGCTCTCTCTCTTTCCGTCCTTAACTGACCCGTAAGCTGGCGGCGGGTCAAAAAAATACGGAGAGAGGCCCCTTTACAACCTTAGCCCCCTCCTGGAGCAGTTGACGGAACGGGCCTGCTCGGTCTTGGTTACTCTTTTCTGTTTTTTTCACGCAGGGCTGCTGCCCCCGCCGCGTCATCGTGCACAGCACCAGCCACGTGGAAATCCAGGATTCCGCCTCCTCCGGTGTCACCATCGCCGCGACGGCGCTCTCCGTCGCGGCCGCGGCCGCGGCGGCGGCGGCGGGTGGTCCGGGCCGTAAGCCGCCGCTACTGGCCTTGGACTTGGCGGTCAGCAAGGAGGGCGGGAGGTTCGTGTACAGCACGCCGCCACCCACCATCATCACCAAGATCATGGTGCTCTTCGACGCGGCCATAAGTGAGAGCGGTCCCTCAGAGTCTCAGGGCACAACCTCCCTAGGCTGTTTTTCAGGGGATATGTTGGCTGTTCGATGCGGGGGATGTGGGTGGGGACTCCCTTTTGTTAATTATATCAAAATTATCCTCAATCCTATACAGAGCCCCAATTTCTGAAGGAAATATAAAAAAATCAACTCTCCATTGGATTTCGAGGGCTGTGGATCGTTTGGGGCGGCCGCCCCTGAATTAGGGCGCGCGCGGTGCCAGAGCTGTGTGAATGAGGTTAAAGCGGATCCGAACATACATACTACCGGTGCTGTCCGCACTTTTACTGTCGTTTTGCTCTCTTGACTAACTAAAAAACTTTGGCTAACAGCTAACAAGTAAACTTACACGCAAGCGGTACCCTGCTGCAGTGCTGGTTTCTGGCATCCTGATGTCTCTGGACTCGAATAACACCAATCCGCTCTTACCGAATCGACTCGAACTCGAGCTCCCTCCCACTTAAACCCAACCAAAACTCTTACAACGTACAAATCCAGTGCCAAGTAGCCCTACAAGCCCACTCCGAAACCTACTTTTACCCCGAGCGCACCCCTCAGCCCGCACCCAAGGGCTGCACACCCTGGAGCCGGCCATCATGGAGAACCTGTTCTGGGCCACAGCGCCCATCTTGTCTACCGTACACCCGCAGGTACAGTGCCGTGCAATGCCGTACGGAAGATTGATTTTTGGTGTTGCTGCCACCTAATTTGCTTGGTTCCGTCGGCCTGGCTGCCTAACCGGCTGGACCGAAAACCACGAATCGTGCGATCGGGAACAAAGTCTCTGTATGTATGTTGTTACAGGGTGGTATAGCTTCACCAGCGGCCCCCTTTCCCGAGGCAGTTCCCTGCTCTCCCCTGCGAGAGGGGCACCCTAATCCATTCACCCCATCCGACATCAGAATGTATTCGTTGGGTTCGGCAACTCACCACCAGCATCTAACCAAATCTAGCGGATCAACGGCGCCTCAACTTAGTTCCTGGTCAGCTCGTTTTAACTCAGATAACTCTGAGTTTAACCGATGCATTTTTGTTTAAATTTACTTGTCTGCTTAAACCCTGTTGGGCCAACTCTGAATTCCCCCCATACATCAACGCAAACTACATGTCCTCGCAGGAGGAGGGTGTGGTAAAGCTTCGTGAGTCTTTGCGAGCCACTTTGACAGCGGCACTGGTGCCTCTTGATGAATACATGGCCAAGTTTGAAAAGTGCGTGGATGGTGCCCCGCCTTTGTGTGTGTTGTCCTTGTGTGTGTATGTGTGATCTTGCGGGTCTGCGGAGGCAGGTCAGCTTAACCCACGTGATTACTGCTGCTGCTACTGCTGGGGCTGCTACTGCTGGGGCTGCTACTGCTGCTGCTGCTTGGCGCCCGACTAACTCTTCATGTGCTGACGCGGCTGCCGACGCTGTTGGTTTGCTGATCCGCCCGCCCTAATTACTGTTTGGTGCCACTGCTGACGGGGCTTGGTATTGCTGCTCACGTTACTGCTCACGTTACTTACTTGATGCTGACACGGCTATGGTGCTACTGTTGACGCTGTTGCAGGTACGTGGGGCTGCTACAGCTCAACGTGGACAGCTACGTGGCGGCACTGGAGAACAAGGGCGCGGACCTGTCTCTGACAGAGGTGCGACGGGACGCGTATGTATGCATCATGTTTGCATGTATGTATGCATGTATGTGTGTATGCTAGTGTGTATGCTAGTGTGTACGTGTGTGTGCGGGTTTACAGACGTTTTGAGATGGGTAGGGCAGCCGTGGCTCTGCGGCGAGTAGAGAGAGGAAGTCGGGCGTGTATCGTCTCTAGACGGGGTGTACAACACACTCCCTTGAGGTGGTGGTTAGGGGGGCGGGTTTTTGTGGGGGGGAGACTCTGACCGCCAGTCCGCGCTACCAGCACGGTAATGCACAGAGCCTATAACCCGTAGGCGTTTCCCCCCATCTGCTCACACCGGGCCATGCCTTTGCCACTCCCTCCCCCGCCCTGTCTAGGGTTCTGCCTCATCAAGCTCCTTCCTGGCATTCTCTCCATTCGTTATTTGAGACGTGTTCCTGGTCCCAGCCTGCTCTTCCTGACATGTTTCATCCTTGACGCCTATCTCCTCAATAATACCTTTTTTCCCCCCCGTGTGACCTACACCTACCGCCCTACCTGTCTTTTTGCCCTCACTTCCCTCCACACACACATACACACATACACACACACCGACCTACACCCTTGCCCAGGTCCGTACCGAGATCAGGCGCGCCTCCGCTGACCTGGAGTCCCTTTTGGAGAGTGTACCCGTGGGTATCTCCCTCGGACTGGTGCAGATCAACCTGTCCAAGGTGGGGGGGGATGTGGGGGATGTGGGTGGAGAAGCACGGGGTGAAGAGGGAGGGGGTTGGCGGCACAGGGGAATATGGGCACGGTCGGGTAGGAGGCCGAAGATCCAAGGATCCGGGTCCGGGGCGAGAGTTGGCCTCTCCTTGGCGGGCCTCAGAGGAGATTCGGGGCGGGGTTGGGGTTAGGCGCTTCGTGGGGTCAGTAGTCTTTTACACTCCGGGTCTGGGTCCGCTTAACCTCACCCCACAGAGATAAAGCATTTCGGCGAAGTACGCATTCGACCTGAACTGAACTGAACTGAACTGAGCCGACGATCTGGGCTGGCCTGGCCTGATCTGACCCCGCAGACGCGGGAGTTGCTGGTGAAGAAACAGGAGAAGCTGGTTTCACTTCTGAAGGTGAGTTTGGGTGGGTGGGTGGGTTGGTGGGTTGGTGAAGGGTGGGGATGTCCTGTTAGCTAGGTGCAGGTGAAGGAATGGTAAATTCGCTCGTGGCTGGCGGCGTTTGTGACCAGCTGGCGTTACGAACGAACAGTCCCTCCTCGGCACCACCACTTGGTGGGTTCTCTCTCTCTCTCTTTCTCTCTCTCTTTCTCCCTCTCTTTCTCCCTCTCTTTCTCTCTCACTCTCACGTTGCTCCGGGGACTGGTATCTTTTTCGCTCTCCTTCATGACTCTTACGCGTCACCGCCGACTCGTCCTTCCCCTCGCAACCGCCGTCGCTTCTGGCGCCACAGGGCCTCGCTGCTCGTGTTCCCCGCCGGTCAATGGCCTCTGTTTCGTCCAAGTTTGCAGAAATTGACCGCGCGCTGAAGGTAAGCTCACCCGCACACCCCGCGCAACCAGCACACCAGGACACTAGCATAAAAAGACAGAGCAGAGGAGGAAAAGGATAGGGAGAAAGGGCGGTCTGGGGTGTAGATGTGGGGGGTGAAAGGATGGTAGGAAAGCCGGCCGGCCGGCTGGTCTGCATGTTCGACTGTGCGCGTCGGGGCTAGAAGGGGCTGGGCTAGGGGATTTGCTTGTCCGGCAATATCGTTCTGCATATCTCGGGGCTGCTCAACATTACTATTGCCTAAAAAAACCCCTAGAAAATGCAGACGTAATTGCTTTTTTCTGCTGCTATAGAAGAGGCAGTGGCAGGGCCTCGAGCCACAGATGTGGGAATCTTTGTGGATCCTGATTTGCATGCCCACCTCACTCCTCCTCTCCCTCGTTGTCCTGTTTTGTCCCGGGACATATCGTACCGTACGGCAGGCCAAGGCCAACAACCTGGAAGACGTGGACGAGCAGCGGAAGTACATCGAGCAGCTGCCCAACAAGGTTCGTGTTTTGTTTTGTTTTGTTGTGTTTGGTCCGTGCGGTGTGTTCTTGGCCAGCATGCCGAATGGTAAAGGATGCCGAAGAAGGTGTGTGTGCATGTATACGTGTGTGTGCGTGTATGTGCCGTAGTCATTTGTATGTGAGATTATCTGTATGCTGGCGTCTTTGGTGGTTGAACTCCGGTATCCCCTACCCCGTATTGCCTATATAAGACACCTCCGCATGATGTGAAATCAAAAATAAGAGCTTACGCATTCGCAGCTGCTCTCACAGACATACCTTAAGAAAAAAATAACGCGCTACTTGAATTTTTTTAATTAAAAAGCTTGAAATAGGAAAAAAAGAGGAGAACGCCTGACATAGCCTGGAGAAAGGGAGAGTACCTAGATGACGTTTTGCGCTCCTCGTGATGCGGATGCTGTGTGATATGCAGATCGCGGACCTAATGGCTGAGGTGGAGAACCAGCGAGGCTGGTACGAGCTGCTGGACCAGCTGCGTTACCTGCTGCCGGAAGACGACCTGAAGGAGAAGTTCCAAGGGGAGAGCTGGGGAGTGCGGCTGGGCCGACAGGCGGAGCGGCAGCTTGAGGTGCGTGTGGGGCGCGCGGGCAGGTTTGGGCTACATGTGTGTCTAGTGTGTTTTAGTGTAAACACACAATTGATGATTATAACCAATTACATGTTCTCGGACTAGATTTAATACTATCTAGTGTACATATTAACACACATATATATATATATATATTATACATAATGTTGAAATTATGTATCTGTGTGTGTCTGTAGTGAACTGCGTGGCCAAGGGTGTAGGAACTGACGAGGATTTGCCTGTATGTGTGTATGTCTGTGTGCATGTATGTTTGGGGGCGGGGAAAGGGTGAGAGAGGTGTTGCAGGTACGTGGTGGAGATCGTGTGTGCACTAGAATATTGTGCCAAGGTGCATTTGACAAGTATCACAACCGTGATTCCAGGATGACGTGAGCCAATGCAAATCACTCAGTTCGACCCGTGGGTCTGTCCTCTCTCCGATACTTGCTGGTAAAGGCAAGGTAAGGGAGGGGGAAAGAGGCCTTTACCTCTTTCCCCCATTTCGATGAATTCTCGATCCCACCACCACCCATCCCGCCACCACCCATCCTACCTCCATACCTAACCCCCCAACCCCACTACCCGTCCGCGTTACTTCATTCCATCCAGGTGTTGTCCACTGACGAGGCTCGCTACAAGAACGAGATGTTCATCGAACAAGACATGTTCCGCGACACCATTGGCGACCTGCAAGTGGTGAGCGCGGAGAAGGAGGAAGAGGAGGAGGAGGAGAAGGCTCGGAGAAATTTTCCTTCTTTCACCATACCTCTATGCATTCATTAGATGAGGAGGACATCGTTCAAAGGCCAAAACCAGCAGCCATGTCGCACCGTTGAATCAGCTAGCAGCTCCCTACCTTTTTCGAAAGGAAGGAAGGTGGACAAAGGGGAACGAAGGCAAAGGGGGAGCAGGGAGAGAGAGAGAAAGAGAAGGAGAAGGATCGTGAGTTTAGAATTAAGGGGGACACGTGATCATCCGCCAGTGCGCTACGGGAAAGGTGGGCTTTCCCCCTCACCCACCCAACCTCGCAAAACCCACCCGCACCTGCACTCACAGCAAACCTCAAACCTCAACCCCTCGCCTTCCCCCCGCCCATACACACATTTCCCTCACTCTCACCTCAAGCCATAACCTTTCCCTCCTTACCCCTCCTAACCCCAAATATCATACCGTGTACCGTACATGTACCATTTCCAGGTGGTTAGCAATTTCGGATTGTACACCGACTTGGCGAAAATGGACTCTGTGGTGGCGGAGGTACGGGCCGTGGACGAGCGACTGCGCAAGGCCGACCACGACGCCACGTTGTTCAACAGCCGTGAGGCCCTCCTGGGTCTGCCGCCCACCGACTACTCTCCGTTACGGAAGGTCATTGAGACGTTTGACCCCTTCTTCCAGGTACGGTGTACGGCGTACGGCGAGGTGTGCGTATGCTTAGGGGTTCGTGTCTGTTTTTGTGTGTACTACAGGGACTGTGGATGGGCGGGGTGTGCATGAATAGGATGATGATGATGATGATGTGTGTTGTAATGGCATGTGGATGGTTCAAGGTCCAAACGCACACCACCTGTTTCCGAAGGATACGGTACACGTGAAGCACGTGCGTGTTTTTACCACCGGAACCCATGCTCCACACATCCCACATTTCCCTCCTCCCTCTCTCTCTCACACACTCACACACACACCCCACGGACACCCCACGGACACCGTAACCCTGATCGCTCACACGTGCTCTCACTCCACCCCTCTCTCACCCGTTCTCTCGTTCTCTCTCGCCGTCTTTAGTTCTGGACCACAGCCTCTAACTGGCGACACCTGCACAAGAGCTGGATGCATGACTCCTGGGAGAAGCTGCACGGAGAGACGGTGGAACGCGAGGTCAACAACGCATACAAGGTGCTGTACAAGACCGGCAAGGTGTATGCGCAGCGCGGCATGGACAAGTACGCGGAGAACTGCGAGACTGTGAGGGCGGAGGTGGAGGCCTTTAAGAAGTTCGTGCCGCTGGTGCAGGCTCTAAGAAACCCCGGCATGCGGGACCGGCATTGGGACCAACTGTCGGCATCTCTGGGCTTTAAGCTGCATCCCGACAAGAACTTTACCTTGTCGCACGGGCACCAGATGGGCCTCCTGTCGCATCTCCAGGTCATCAGCAAGATCGCTGACGTGGCGGGCAAGGAGTACGGCATCGAACAGGTGCGTGGAGGAAGAGGAGGAAGAGGAGGAAGAGGCCACGGGCTTGCGCTAACGCTAGCGAGTGTGTGCTTGTGTGTCTTGTCTGTGTGTGTTGTGTATGCCTATCCTTACTTGTCCCTATCCTAATCCCTCGTATCTGACTGATCCCGAATGTTGTGTGTGTCTCTGGATGGATGGATGGATGGATGAATGGATGTGTTTCTCCCGCCTTCCATATGTTTACACACAAACATATATATATATATATACATGTACACATTTGGTGGTCCTTGTGTATGTTTATATGCATATCCTTTGGTCAGGCCCTTGACAAGATGCACCGCGAGTGGGAGAACGGCGGAGATGCAGGTCCTGGACTACCGGGAAACCAAGACCTTCGTGGTGAAGGTGGATGACCAGATCAGCCAGATGATGGACGACCACATCGCCATGACACAGTCCATGGCGTTCAGGTGAGGGGGCGGCAGGAGCAGGAGGAGGGGAAGGGGAGGGGGAGCAGGAGGAGGAGGGGGAGGAGGAGGGGGAGGGGGGGGAGGAGGGGGAGGGGGGGGAGGAGGGGGAAGGGGAGGGGGAGGGGGGGGGAGGAGGGGGAGGTTAAAAGGAAACAGAAAGAAGAGCGCATCAAGCCACATCAGCTACAAAGGAGAAAGCCGCGGTAGCGGTGGCATGGTGGCATGGCCGGGTTGCGGAACCCGCCACGTGTGTGTGTGTGTGTGTGTGTGTGTGTGTGTGTGTGTGTGTGTGTGCATGCCTGCGTCTTCCTCCTCCGCTTCTTCCTCCTCTTCCTGCGCGCCCTCCTTCCTTTTCCCATGCCGTCCCCGTCCCCCGTACTTGGTTGCAGGTTTGCGCAAGTGCTCCTCCTTCCCCTGCTTGTATACATTTCTGTGTTCATTTCCTCTCCCCCCCCTTTCCCCCTCCCCTCCCCCCTTCCCCTCCATCCCCTCCACCTCCCCTTCATTTCGGACCCCCTCGCAGTCCCTACAAGAAACCGTTCGAGGAGCGCATCGTGAAGTGGGAGCAACAGCTCAACCTGGTATGTGCGGCTGTCTATGTGCGTTAGAAAACTGAGCCACGAAAAGGAACTGGTGAAGTTGGCACGCCCAAGCAACTTTACCAAAGGAAGTAGTCCCGCAAGGGAAGAAATTTTGGAGAAATTCTGCCCTCCCCTTTCTCTCCCCCCCTCTCTCTCTCTCCTCCCATCTTTCTTCCCCCCTCTTTCCCCCCTTTTTCTCTCTCCATCTCTCTTTCCTCTCCATCTCTCTCTCTTCCCCTCTCTCAGGTGAGCGAGATTCTGGACCAGTGGATTCAGCTGCAACGTCAGTGGATGTATCTGGAGCCCATCTTTGGCTCCGAAGACATCATGCAGCAGCTGCCCCTGGAGGGTAAGAGGTTCGCCACGGTGGACCGGATGTGGCGCAAGACCACGGAGGCCGCCAAGCGCAACCCACTGGTCCTCAAGGTACGTTGTGTTGTTTGGCGTTTTGTGGACGCATCGCGATAGCGGTGTGATTGAACTGAAAAAGGGGGAAAAGGAGGGGGAAGGTGTGAAGCGGTGCCGTGGGTGAATATGGCTGTGTGTGCGTGTGTGTGTGTGTGTGTGTGTGAGTGTGTTTTACAACATTTTATTGGGTCTACGCTGTATGTCTGTGTGTACGTCTGTGCAGCATCTATGTACCTGGCGAACTGTAGCCAAACAGCCAAGCACCTTCGCCATCCCGATCTCCCCCACCCGCACCCGCCCCCTCGCCTTCCACACACTCAGCTGCTGTCCCTGACGATCGTCACATCCACCCGATTTCCCCTCCCCCCCACCACACACACCACACCACACCTCTCTCTCTTTCCCCACGCACGGCCGGTGTTTTCCCCCCCTGAACCCCCCTTCTACACACACCTGCACATGCAACCCCCCCCCACACACACACGCAACCTCTCCCCACCCCACACACACACGCAACCTCTCCCCCCCACCCCCCCCCACACACACGCAACCTCTCCCCCCCCACACACACACGCAACCTCTCCCCCCCCACACACACGCACCTCACACACATACCCCCTCACCCCGCGCACTCTTCCCCCTGGAACAACAACAGGTATGTTCCTCCCAGAAGCTTCTGGATTCGTTCATCGAGGCGAACAAGCTCCTGGAGAGCGTGCAGAAGGGCCTGGCGGAGTACCTGGAGACCAAGCGACTGGCCTTTGCGAGGTTCTTCTTCCTGTCCAACGACGAGCTGCTACAGATTCTGTCGCAGACAAAGAACCCCCTGGCGGTGCAGGTTAGCGGTCTGTATGTATGTACGTCCATGTGTGTATGTATGTATGTGTGTATTCGTGTGTGTCTTGGGTCACGTGTGAAAGATTGAGCGTGTTGCTCTTTTACTGTTTCCCTGTTCTTCATATTTTTTAATCTCCTCCTTCCCTTAAACCTTCTTCGTGTCACCCCTCTCCCTGTCCTCTTCCTCCCCTTCCCTGTCCTCTTCCTCCCCGTCCTTCTCGCCGCCGTCTTGTAGCCCCACCTCCGCAAGTGCTTTGAGGCCATTGAAAGTCTGGATTTCGGTTCCGGCGGGGAGATCAGCGCCATGAACAGCAGGGAGAAGGAGAAGGTGCCGTTTGACAAGAGCATGATGCCGCAGGGCAACGTTGAGATCTGGCTGGGTGAGGGAGGGGAGAGGGAGGGATGAGGGAGGGTGAGGGAGGGGGTGAGGGAGGACCGGGGGATTGGGAGGGTGCCCTATGGCATAAACATGCCGGGTGCGTGGCGGGTGAGGCTCTATAAAGAGCTGGGGCCGATTGTGCGAAAGTGTGGGATGAAACTTGGCGATGTGGGATTTAGACCGGATATGCGGATGGATGGGTTGAAGCTTGGCCAGCACATTACGAGTATATGAGCATGTATGTGAGAGTATGTGTCCCCGAAAACCACGCGTTGGTGTGTGCCGGTGTACGCCGGTGCGCCACTCTCACGTTTGCAGGATATACCTCCCAGATCCCCTCCCATGCTCCCTTTCCAACACGTCCTCCCCTTGCGGCCCCTGCCCCCCACGGCTTCCGAGTAAACAGGCGAGGTGGAGCGGCGCATGCGCAGCAGCGTACGGCAGCAGGTGATGCTGTCCATGGCGGCTTACACGCAGTCGGAGCGTAAGCAGTGGGTTCGCGAGTGGCCCGCCATGGTGGTTCTGGCGGTCAGTGCCATCTTCTGGTCGAGCCAGGTGGAGGAGGCCATCAAAGGTGGGTGGGTAGTGGGTAGGTGGGTCCGACCCATGGGTCGGAAGCCCACGCTGCAATGGTGGGGAGAGGAGGTGGGTGGGAAATGGGGAGGACTGAAACCTGAGTTTGAAATGGGATGTAGGACATGGTAAGAAAAGAGGGAAAGAAAGAAAGAGAGAGAGAGGAAGAGAGGGAGAGGTGTGTTTGTATGTGAATGACACTTGTATGTGTGTGTGTGTGCGTGAAAGAGAAAGATGCAAAGGTGCACACGTGTGGGAGAGAGATGTGTGTCCAGGGTGTTCTTTAGCTCCCCGGCTCGGCGGCGTAGATTAGCTCCCGACCTTGGCCCGACCTCCCTTAACTCCTCTTACCTCCTACCCGCCCCCTATCCGCCCTTCCGACCCCCCTTCCCCCCGCACCTCCTTTTCCTCCTTTTCCCCCCTTCCCCCCGTACCTCCAAACCCTACCCAGGCGGTACCGTTCCCGCCTACCTGGACCGCTGCACTGCCGACCTCATGGACCTCACGGAGCTGGTCCGAGGCCGCCTCTCCAGCCAGGAGCGCCTCACGTTGGGGGCGCTCATCACCATTGATGTGCACGCGCGGG